TGTGAAAGCTGACACCATCTCTCTCCAAAGAAGGGCTGGAGTTGGGGCGGCTTCAGTCACCTACACCAGGGCTCAGTCCTGATGGCACTCATGGCCTTCACACTAGGGCTCCTTCCACAGAACGCCGGGTCTGGGTTAAGAATGTATCTGTGTAAGCACCAGTAGGTGGCACGGTGGTTAGGCCACTGGATTCTCACAGTACTGACTGTAGTTCGAGTCCCAGGTCTAACGGCTTGACATTGAAGGAAGGGGCTGGGACCAGCACAGCCTGTCAGGAAACTTGTCTGCATGTTACAGGCAGAGAACTGTGCCCACAGAGACTCCGTGATCTTCGCTGGGTGTGCACGTCAGCCAGGCTTCCAGATAGGGTTGTGATGGGCATGGAAGGAGGAGAGGGCCCCTCGCTGCACGATGGTCACAGCAGCGAACCTGCCCAACACGCTCTTTCTGCCAGACGTTCGACCCGCCCCAGCCATCCCGCCCCTGCCCAGAGGCCACGCAGCCCAGGCTGCTGGGTCAATCAACACGGTGATTGTGGGGTATTCAGTCCCCTCAGCCCCGTGATCACCGCTTCAGCAAGAACACAGGCGCCGTGTCTGGCCAGTCAGCTCCCCCAGGCTTTTTTCTGGGCTGTCAGCAAAGATTCGGGCTTTTTCTCTGGGATCCCAGGTAGAGGGAGAGTGTGGATGAGGGGGCGTAAGGCATCTCACAGCCAAGTGGAGAGTGCCATTTTCCAGGGTCCCACAGCGCCCCCCCCCCCCGTGGGAGAACGAAACTGCCCTTCCTTTTTGTGTTTCTAAGCTGTAGTTGCACATTTCCGAGAGTTTCTATTAAATCTGAAAACGTCCTGGCAAATTCACCGGCTCCGTCTTCTTCAATCTCTACGTGGTATCTGTCCGAGTCTTATTCTAAAACTTTAGGGTCCCAGAAATACCCCATGAGGGCATCCTGGGGCCAAGAGTGTGAGGAGCTCAGAGTGGCCGGGCAGAGGGCGCCACGTGGGCGTGTCCTGAGGTCTGAAGACCCGAATGGGGTGGGGAGCCAGCGGGCACGGAGCTAAGTAGCGCTGGAGCCGGAGTGGGCAGAGCAGGGCTGACCTGAATCCCACCTGGGCCATCTGGGTGACGGGGCCGCGACCATATCTGAGCAGAGACACAGCCCCTGTTCTTCGGGTGAGGACGGGAGAGTCAGAGGTGCACGGCAACCTGGAGGGCGGCTGCACAAGAGGCTGCTGAGGGCCTGGGCTGGAGGGGGCTCGGAGGGCCGCGAGGGCATCTTGGGGACTTGGCAGCTGTTGGCCCCAGCACCCGAAGCATCACTTTTGTCATCACAAGCAAGTGGGCGAAGAGCAGACGGGTGACACGTGGGGTGAGGGGAGGTGCGTGAGCAGTGCCTGCAGGACGAGGGGGTCTACAGGGTCCTTAGTGCCGGCCGAGCCCCGAGCCCCTTCTAGCCCGAGCCCTCATTGTATCAGTATCGAAGCTAAGATCCAGGGACGGGAAGGACTCTGCCCAGGAGACTCGGCTTGAGAGCAGCTGAGCCAGACCTGGAGGCCAGGTCCCCTGCTCTGTCCTCTCAGGCCCAGGCCTGTGACGCCCTCATTTTTAACTCTCCCCCAGAGGGAAAGCTCCCCGGAGGGTCCTTCACCCAGGTCTTGCCTCTTAGCGGGAAAGTGGGGGCTGCCAGGAGAAGGCTCACTGAACAGTAAATAACTGAGCCCAGGGTGGAAGGAGAGGTTCAGCCGTCATAAATCTCTCCGGAATTTTAAAAGGAGCTGGGGAATATTGACATGAATTAAATCCAATAAAACATTCATTTAATTAAACTTTAAATGATCCAAATATTTGCTGTTCGGTTCATACTTGTGTAGCCAGCAGGAGCAGAATGACAATGGCCCTGTCAGCGTGCACGCGGTCTAATTCTGCATGCGTTTCCGTGCTCAGCACACACGTCTTCACACGTACGAATGGCGGGGCGCGCTCAGGAGGCGGGTAGCGCCGTCCTCGCGCACAGGCTGCCAGCGCCCATGGGGCCTTTCTGTTGTGCTGCTTGTATACATGTTTGTTTGTCTGCTTGCTCCTCTAGACCTTTTCTAAAACTGCTTGTGATACATGCCTTTGGGGCACGTGGAGGAAGGGGTCCTATATTCCAAGTGAGGACCTGGGACCCCAACTACCAAACCGTCTCATTTCCCTCCTTCCCCTACTCTCCCCCTTTCCTTCTCTCCAGACTTCCTCACATCTTATAGGGCAGTGGTTCTCAGGCCTCCTCGGGGTACCACAGGGCCCCTTGGGGTGTTCGTTATAATCTGGATGCCCACTGCCCCCCTTCCCAGAGTCTGTGTCATCCTGAGGGAGGGGGCAGGAACCTGTTTATCTCCCACCCCGATGAGAGGCAGGTGGTTGAGGAGCCACACCTGAGCAGGTGGCACTAGGGCCCAGGGAAAACCCTGCCTCCTCCCAGAGCCCCTCCCTGGGCACGCAGTGGGGCTTCCCTGCTAGCCTGCTGGACTCCAAAGTGCAGAGAAAAAGTAGGCTCCTTTGGCAACTCGCCTGACTTCTTCCCGAGCCCCAGCCCGTCAGGAGAGAGATACAGCTAAACAGTCCAGTGTAAAGCTTAATCCTGACCACCGTAACTGTCCACATGAGTCATGCTCTGTCTGAAAAAGCGCCTCATGCTCCCACTCCCACCCTGCACCCCCGGCTGCTCTCCAAGCTGGCCCTGACTCTGCACGGAGGCAGCCAGCCAGCCCTCTCTGCCGCAGGCGCCCACCAGGGCAGGCGCCCACCAGGGCCCTCCCGATGGCCCTGGTCCCAGGGGGCTCACTGCTGTGCTCGCTCAGCCCCGGTGTCTGGCGGGGTCTGAGGGCGGGGCACTCCCCAAGCTCAGCCTCCCGAAGCCCCTGCTGGTGCTACACCACATGGGGCACCCCACTGTCCACCCAGTGAATGGGCAGGAGCTGATGGGGCTCAGGTCCTCTGGACACATGTGGTTACCCCGGGCAGGTAGAGAGTGGGGGGCAGGGAGGCACCTCACCTTCTAGCCTGCCCTCACCTGGGCTCCCCTCACATACATCATCTCCCTTCCTCTTCCCACAATTCCCCAGGCTGAGGAGTCCTCCCTTCCTGCTTCCATGGCCTGGAAGAGCCTCTGCTGGGCTCAGAGAGAACTATGGGTTCCGAGCTCTGAGGGCCCGCAGACTGCAGTGGGAGCTAAATGATTCCAGCAAGTTCTCTGGCTCTCCCTCCTGCTCCAAGCCTCGGTCAGGCTGCAGAGGGCCGGTACATTTCTTGTCCCGCCCTGAGCAATAAGCCTCATGACTCAGAGTGGGGAGGGTGCGAGCAGAATGTGATTGAAGACCTTGAAATGCATCACTTGAAGGTTTGGGAAATAGCACTCCAGCTGCATCTGCGTCAGTCACGTGGGGCTTATCACTCCCCGTGTGGGCTCCTTCACCATCACGTTTTCCCTGTGCGAGCACCCCACTCCACTGGCCTGCTTACTCTTTGGCTTTTTTATTTCCCTCTTCTTTGATTTTTTTTAATCCCTCCATCAAGCATTGATGAAGCACCCAGTGTGTATCTTCGTCCTGGTGAGGCCAGGGCAGCCCACTGCATGGGTGTGCAGGGGAGGGCCTTCTGCAGTGCATTGCACCTGCGGCTGTTGTCACTCCCACCTGTGAGAACAGAGGTGCCACCTGCAGTGCTGCCGCTGCCCGGTCACAGCTCACCAGTGTCCTGCTCGAGGTGCCACCTGCAGGGCTGCTGCTGCCCGGTCACAGCTCACCAGTGTCCTGCTGCATCACTGAGCTCAGTCCCCAACTCCGGGCTTGCTCCAGAGTATTTGGGGAACACACCTCCCAGGGTCCCCGGGTCCCATAGAGTAGTAAGAGTGAAAAGGACCCCCAGCATTTTCACTAGCCCCTCAGGAGACAGACCGCCAGAGCCAGCCTGCCTCCCTCAGCTCATGCCGCCTCTGGCCACTGCTCCAAACCCCTGAATGGGAGGATCTCGGGAAAGAGCAGGAGACCCAGTCTTGTCCATGGGCTGGTGACTCTCCCTCCATGTCTGACCCCATGTCAGCATGAGCAGCCTGAGTTTGATTAATTGTTCCATAAAACCAGAGAATTTCAAAACGCCCATGATTGCAAGGAAATATTTTAGACCCTTCCCATTTGCCTGAAGAATGATCAGCCTTAATGCCAGTTATAAAGTGTAAAATGGCAAGGATTAATAATTTGCACAGCCTGAAGTACATTCCACAAAATTAAAGGCTGCGGTGCGCGGTCACAGAACGGAAATCCGAATCCGAGCTTGGCAAATCCTCAGACAGAGACAAACCATCAGAGGTCAGCCAGTTCGTTCTCCAGACTTCAGACAGTGCGACCTTTAAGTCGCCCCAGACAGATGAGAAACCTGTCGGTCGCCCAGTGGAGCCTGACTGCACCCAGCCAGGCCCAGACTTCATCAGGCCAGGGGAGCTCCGGGCCAGGCGCTGCACGTCTGCTCCCTGGCCTCTCTGCACGACAGCCCTGGGGGACTGGCCGCCATACTCTGGCGTCAATCAAATCCCAGATGGTTCCCTACATATTCGCTCCCGGTCCTGGCCTGTGTTCATTCAATCTTTAAAAATAAAAAGAATTATGTTGTTTAACTTTATTTATTTTTAAGTTGACCAGAGAAAGATAGAGCAAGAGAGAGATAAAGTGAGAAAGCAAGCCACCAGGTCCGGGACTTGAACCGTGGTTGGCCGTGTGGGAGTTTGGCACCCTTAACCACAACGCCACCTGCCCCTGCTGGCCCCTTCTTTTAGTCTTTTGAGCATTTGATTTAAGTTGCAGCTCCTCTCCCAATTAAAGCATCCATCTGTACGTTTAATGAGCACACACACTTTCCAGGGAGCCTCCAGACCCTCGTGGGCCCCTGCCCTGCCCCTAGTAAATCGTGGGCATTGCCTTGAGCAGAGGCTGCACCTGAACACCTTCTCCTTTCCTTCTGCAGAGGTGGTTCAGCTCAGCCTCGCCCCCGAGGACAGGGTCAGTGTGACCACCGTGACCGTGGGGCTGAGCACGGTGCTGACCTGTGCCATACGTGGAGACCTGAGGCCGCCAATCGTCTGGAAGCGCAACGGGCTCACCCTGAACTTCCTGGACTTGGAAGACATCAATGTAAGTCTCTGGGAATGCACAGGCGAACCTCTGGGGAAGGAAAACTGTGTGAGATGTCCCATGGTGGTGGCAGAGCCAGGAGGTCTCATGTGACATCCCACCTTCGTTCCTTTCTAGCCTGTTGTCAGGCCAGAAAATCTAGGCCTCAGCCTGTGCGGAGCATAGTGTAGATGGTGGCCATCAGTCTGGTAGCCATGCCCAGCTAAGAGAGGGGATGGGGGGGTACACGGTGGGCAGAGCAAGTGGCCTCTGATCAGGTCCTGCCTTGGCAAAGGCCTGGACATGGCCCTGGGTTGGGCCGTGGAGAGGAGTGACCACACACAGCCTGAAGGGATAAGCCACAGGTCAGGCCAGGGAACAGAGCCAAACAGGAGGCTCCCAGCTGCCTGGAGGGTCTGGGGGCAAACTCTGGGCTCTAAAAAAAGGGCAAGATACAGACAGTTGGACCTGGATAAGGGCCAGACCTTGTGGAGAACAGAGGTGAGCCAGTGGGCTGGCCAGAGGTGGAGGGAACCCAGGTCAGAACAGAGGGGACCTGCTCTGGTCCCCTGCCTGGGGAAACTTGCTTGCTCGGTAGGAGAATGGAGGTTTGAGGGGTTGAGTGGCACTGCATGGCAGAGACAGCAGCTGAGCTCACACAGCCTAACATGGCCTACAGGGGGCATTTCTGTACCCAGAGGACCCAGGCAGCCTGGGTGGGGGTCCCAGCATCACCCACGTAGGCTTTGCAACTTAACAGCCTTTCTTCCGCTGCTGGCCAGAATGGATTAATCCATGAGAAAGGCAACATTCACAGCGCCTTCCTCCTACTGGACTTGAAGCAGAGGTGGAATCATTCAAGTGTATTTATCAGTCCAGATTTGGCACAGGGACAATGTGGCTTCCCAGAAGTTTCCATGAGACGGCAGAGTGATGTCAGCCATATAGTGAGCTGCCAGGACGGCTGCTGAGTCTTGAGTTGTGGTCGGTAGCAGAATACAGTTGTCAGGCAGAAGAAGCCCGGATCGCCCTGGCTCAGGCTGGGATAACTGGTCTACCAGGGATGCTTGCCGGAGAGAAGGAAGACCTGTAGGATGAGGGCTGTTAGTTCCTGCAGACATCTCTCAAGAGGGAGAGGTAGGAGCTAAGGCAGAGGGAGACCAACTTGGGCTCCTTAGATGGAACGCCATTTTGGCCATCATGTGAGGCAGTAAGTTCCTCACCCCTGGGAATATGCAAGCTCTAGCAGGGACTCTGGTCAGTGGGGCTGCTCACCCCTAGAGGGCAGCTAAGCCCCATGGCTTAAAGCCCCATGGCCTTCTTGCCAACTCGGTCAGCTTGGTGGGGAGAGAGGCCCAGCATGACATGTTGCTAGGAACCACCAAAGCTGGGCCTCATACTCCAGGCTCCATCGCACCCCAGGCTATGGGGAAAGCAAGTGGAAAGAGGGAGGTTCTACCCCAGACAGAGCAGAAGAGCAAAGAGTGCCCTTCCCCCACCCTCATCAGTCACACTGAGCAGGGCGATTTTCTTGTGAGTCCCTCACATGAAGAACATAGCCAGTATCCTGTACACCTCTGGGTGTCATCTGGGTGTCAGTGGGTGTTTGATAGACAGGTGCTGGGTGCAGTGTCCTGCATCCCCTGGGTCCTAGATGGCCAGTGCTCATCTGAGACCTCAGCAAGAAAGGGAAGCATCTATCTGTGAAGGCAACAGACTGTGTGGGTGCCTGTGCACGTGCTGGGGTGCATGACTGTGTACAAAAGCTCTCCGAGTCGGGTGTCAACCAGTGAGGGCAGGTCTGCCTGCATGCGTGCGTGTGTTTGTGTGTGTGTGTGCGTGCTTCCATGTGTGGTACTTAATGCTCTGTTTAAAGACTTTGGAAATAAAGACAGAGGCAAAACTCCTCTTAATGTACTTGCCATCAGCTAATTAAATTACTTCGGGGGCTCCCCCTCCCTCCGACATGCCTCCAGCACCAACTCAATTGCATTTCTCCTTCTCACAATAAGGTCAGCAATTTGGGTAATTGTGGGCGCAACCAGAGATCAATGGCCCCTCATGCCCAGGAAGCCCTCCCTGCTCACCGTGGAGGCAGCGTTCCGCAAACAGGCAGGCACTGTGCTGCTCGCAAGCCCCGTGTGAGGGCACAGGGCATCGTGTGACCCACCCAAGCACACATAAAGCTCACACACACGGCTAACACATGCCCCCCCACACACACAGTGGGGAGGGAAACAGCACAGCCTGCTAGCGAAGGGCACAGGCTCCAAGAAGGAGCTCACACAGTACACACACGGCTAACACATGCCCCCCCCACACACACAGTGGGGAGGGAAACAGCACAGCCTGCTAGCGAAGGGCACAGGCTCCAAGAAGGAGCCTGGGCGTGAGACTCAGTCCTGCTACTCACCCGTCGAGCAACCCCTACCTCTACACCTCGGTTTCCTCATCTGTGAAATAAGGACAAATCAGAGAACCTGCCTCACAGGGTTATAATGAGGATTAAGTGAGAACACGCATGTAAGTTTCTTAACATCTGCTACTCCATAAGTGTATTATCGCTCTTCTTAACATTACTGCTACTATTACTGCCGTCGACATTACTACCGCCGCCATTAAACAATGTTCTCAAAATTTTGTGACCTGAATCCCCACCAAGCTGCCAGCAGCAGTCCAGCGAGGCTCCCCAGTCAGGCAGATGTGACCCTGGTGCACCCCTGCTGTCCGTGGCGGGGCACAGGTAAAGTGCTGTTCCATCAGGCTTGACTCGTCCAGGGAGAGAGACGCTGACCGGCCCGCTTGGGTGTATCCAGAGCAGCCGTGGGTGAGCCATTGAGCCTCCCTGGGCTGGTGGAGAGACGAAGAGTACGGTGTCCTCCTTGCATGGAAGCTTTCACGTTGAACGCAAGGGGCTGAGCTCTTAGTTCAGGGTCGGGGGCACAGCAGGTGCCCCCAAGTGCAAGCCCTCCTCTGGGGACAGTGAGGAGAACAACACTAGGAGGAAATCAGGCTGAAGGAGTAGAGGCAGGTCGTTAGGATGCACGGGGCATTTTTAAAGCAAGAATCGGCTAAGGGGGAGCAGCCCAGGAGGGCAACATTAACAGGGTGGACACCCAGGGGTGATGAAGTTCCGGGAGTCCCTCAGCCCACGGCAGCTCAGGTCCCCACCTTACTCTTGCACTGTGAGAGATGAAAAAAAAAAAATTTTTTTTTTTGGAGAGATATTTTTGCTCTAAGGCACATGCACTTGCTGGAGAAACAAAGAGACAGAAAGACAGAAAGCAAGAAATTACCCCCCACCCTCAGGAGGGACGGCTACATCACAATCCCTTCTCCATTCTCCTCTTGGGATTTTGGGCATACACGTACATGCACCCAGCATGAGCTTGAAGCCACCAGGTCCAGGATTTGAACTGTGGTTAACTACGTGGGAGTCCAGCGACATAGCCGTTATGCCATCTGCTGGTCCCGAGAGGTGAAATTTGGTCCCTGCGCTGTAGTCAATGCCTGGCACTCAAATGCTGCTGCCAGGGGAAGCCACCCCTCATTCAGGGTCCGAGGCAGGCAGATCAAGAGCTCAGAGGGGTGTGCACCTCCTCGCTGTGTCGTTTGTGAGAGACATCTTGATTGGCAACAAAATATTAATCACTTTTTCACTCCTCTGTTAATGAGAAGCTTTCATGGGCAACAAAATATTAATTTGTCTTGTCTTATCTGTTAAGAATTCTGTTAATGAATTTAGTCACAGAGCTATTACAGAATGCCATCCTAATGACACATGTAATTAAACTTTTCTGACTTGCAAACATCAAGGATGCCTTGAGCATCAAGATCATATTTGATTGGGAAGGAAATGTACCCCTCTAGCCTGGGGCCACGTGAGAGGGAGCCGCTCGAATTCCGCAGTGTGCGGCGTGGCTGTCGGGAGCACCGTCAGTCACCCCGCGTGCGCATGCGTGTCCAGATGGCCTACGTGGGGAGTCGTCCCTTGGACTAACATGTTGGCTGGGCGTTGGAGGTCACAAGCTCCAGAGCACAGAGAAAGATGTTGTCCGCGGCCTCTGGAGGCAAAGTACCCACAAGCATCTACTCTGGGGGCCAGAGGAAGGGGCTATTCTGGCTGGGGCTGCGGGGACAGGGGTAAGGGAGGGAGGAGTAAGGACGGGCAGGCTGGGGCCAGAGCAGAGGACCTCGAATGGTACCACAAGGCACCTTGGCTGTGCTTCTGTGGGCCATGAGGGCACACAGATGCATGTGCCACAGGGCTCCTGGGCTCCCAGCAGCCTGAAATAAAACGTGCATCCAGGAAAACCACAAGTAATGTGGGACCCAGAAACGAGGGGCACCCTGGGGGGTTCGGGGGGGTCTTCCTCCTGTCTCACGTCCCCAGTGGCACATTCAGAGAGCGGCAATGTCCCAGACCTTCTGTGACTCCCACCCACAATCCCCTCCATGTGGCCGTGGCTTGGTTCACGGTGGCTTCCCCTTTGTAAGGTGGTTATGCAGCTGGTATGCGTCGTATGCAGCTGGCAGGAGGGAAAACAAAAACAGCCCTGAGCGGAGAACGGAGAACGGTGCTGTGGACTAACATGCAAAGCCCCAGAGACGATGCCTGCAAAGGCATCAACCCCCGGGGAACTTGCTGAGGCCCTCCCGGCAGGGGCTCCCCAGATTATGCCACCTCCTTCTGTTTGTCTGATGAGAAATCAAGTTTCTACTCAGGCCCACGTTGCCCAGAGCTAGCAAAGGGTGGCGTGTCCTCTGTTTACCTCCTGCCCAGCTGCCAGGGTCTGCCCTGAAGCAGTTGTAGGTCTGGATGTGCTTGGGCCTCGGCCTCGGCCTCGGTCTCAGGCCCCCTCACCTCAGCTGTCAAGGAATCAGGAACCATTGCTCACCCCAGGAGTGAAGCTGGTTCTGTCTGTTCTAGGCTTGGTCCTGTTCCCAGGAGCCTGCCTGTGCTCGTGCCTGGAGGGCAAGCCCTCAGCTCAGCCCATGGGCACTAGAAGCCAGTGGTCAGC